GTTTTTTCCTTCCAGTACTTTCTTTTTAGATTTACGGATGTCTGTAGAAAAATCTTACCGTGGTCCAGCCACTGATTAGATCTTTTCCAGGACTGACAAAGGGAACTCGTACGTATTACGTGGTAGCAGTGAGGATGGGTTGGTAGTCAGTGTAAAAAATGGTGCTCACTTCGATTAAGGAGGAAAGAGGTAAAACGCGAAGTCCGTGATAGAAAATGGCGTCGACTTGAATTATGCGTGTCCCACGAGGCGATAAACCGTAAATCGTAAAAGTCCTCGGGGGGTTCGCGGTGGCCGCGGGAGGATGTAAAAGGCCAGTAGCGCGCAGATTGTTCCGCGGGTCGGAAGGACCTTCGGTGAATCGGTTATTTGTTTTTTTCTTTTTCTTTTTCTTTCTTTTCATTCGTTCTCGCAATTTTCTTTCTTGCGCGCTGTACAATTCATCCTTTTCTTTATACTCTGGAACTTGGTGACAATCAGCCTTCGGATTCGTTGACCCGATTTAATTCGTTGGACGGTAGAATCCTAAAAAGATAATTTCTTCCACATAACGCTCAGTGCCGATCGGCGGCTTTTTGCGATTCGGACGATATTTAAATCTTTACTGGCGGGAAATTCAAATATCACTGATTTCGACGACACGCGTTGTCCGTGGCGACAAAGGGACGCGTGCGGCGCCTCTGGTGACTTTACTCATATTTCCTGGGACAGACTTCAATTTAATTTTAACTTTTTCAAAGATATTCCTCGGTCGCTTTGAAAGTCAAGCTTAACCTAATACAGCTATGCACCACGTGGACAGTTTATGGGAAAAGTCCGCAGCCTCAATTAAAATCCAGTTTCCATGTAAAAGCTCCCGAGGAAAGTTCTCCAAAGCTACTTGGTTCTTCAGGTACTGCGGATAGGCATCCGTGGTACTGTACAAAGCGCAGAACGAGTGCTTCGCGTAGTAAATAGAAATATACCTTAAAAAAAAAAAAAAAAAAAAAAAAAAATAAAAAAAAAAAAA